CCAAATAACTTTGTCTCAGGTCATTTCTCTGTAAGTCGGGGATTGGATTCATATCAGAGGTTCTTCACTTTTTGTGTGTTGTGGGCCCCTTTGGCAGTCTGGGGAAGTTCCTGGACCCCTTCTCAAAAGAATGTTTGTTTTTTTAAATTCATAACTTAAGGAAACACTTAAATTCAGTTAAATTTTAGTTAAAATAAAGATCTATTTTTTTCCCTATTCAAGTTCCCAGACTCACTGAAATCTATCTGGGTACCACTGGGTTAGATGCTCTCTATGACCTACTCCAGCTCTTAATATTCCTTGTTCTAAGGCCCCTCCCAGCTCTGACATTCCCTGTTCTAAGGACCCCTCTCACCTCTGATCTTCCTTTTTCTTTTTAAAAGGCAATTGGAGTTAAGTGACTTGCCCAGGGTCACACAGTTAGTAAGTGTCAAATATTTGGTCTGAGGCTGGATTTGAACTCAGGGCCGGTGCTCTATCCACTGCGCCACCTAGCTGCCCCTCTGATATTCCTTGTTCTAAGGTCCTTCCCTGATCTGAATTCTCTGTTCTAAAGCCTCTCTCAGCTCTGACATTTCCTGTTCTAAGGTCCCTCCCTGATCTGAATTCTCTGTTCTAAAACCTCTCTCAGCTCTGACATTCCCTGTTCTAAAGTCCCTCCTAGCTCTGACATTTCCTGTTCGAAGGCCCCTCCCAGTTCTGAATCCTCTGTTCTAAGGCTCTTAACATTCTCTGTTCTAAGCTCCCCTTCCCTTCCTTCTCAGCTCCAATATTCTCTAAGATGCTCTCTCTATTTGGACATTCCATATTCTACATTCTGTATTAAGGGGTCTTTTCTCCAAGCCCACCCTGATCACTAGCCCACACTCAGTCCTGCCCTGAGGCTCTCTGACCAGTGGGAGGCCCAGGGCCCACCCTGTGGCATAGGGCAGGGCAGGGCAGGGTGGGAGGCAGCTAGGTTCCAACTATGTAATTTCAGGGAGATGAACATGGAGCTGGGCTGTCCCCCCAGGCAGCCACTCAGAAACCCAACCCCTTTCCTACCATGTAATTTGCCAACCCTCAGCCCTGCCCTGTTGAGCATTTGCTACTGGGAGGCAAGAGGCTGGCTTCAAACTACCATTCCCTGGGCCTGAAGGATGGGCAGACCCACCCCACCCATGGGCTTCTCTCCAAGTCCCTCCATCCCCCAATCTCTGAGGGAAACGGCCTAGACCCAGAGCATGAAATATAGAATCAAAGAATCTCAGAGCAGAAAGAGCCCTCGGTGACCACCTGGTATAACCCCTATCTGGATCAGAATCCCCTTACAACATCCCCAACAAGAGGTCAGTCAGCCTTTGTTTGAAGTCCTCCAGGGAGGGGAAGCCTTGACTTTTCAAAGCAGTCCATTCCACTTCGGGGCAGTTCCAATCCTCAGAAAGGTTTTCTCAGCATGCCTCAGTTTACCTATATGCTACTTCCCCCCATTGCTCCTAATTCTGTTCTCTGGGACCGAGTGGAGCAAGGCTAATCCCTCTTTCCTACTTTAGCCCTTTGAATATTTTAAAACAGAAATCATGTCTTCACCATTGTGGTCCTCATCTTCTTCCCCCTTAAGACTCTTCACTGTCCTGGTTGCTTTCTCTGAATGTCTTTTACTTTATCAGTGTCTTTCCCTAACAGTGGCAAGAACTGGATACAGGGATCTGGGTAGGTGGAATCCATTCTGTACAGTGGGTCCATGCCTTCTCCAGCCTTGGAGGGCATGACCTTAGAAATTCAACTTAAGATTAAATCATCACAAATCACCCCATGAACAGACTCTCTGATCTTTTTGGGTGGCAGTCTAGTCAACGCTTTGCCATCTTGGACTTGGAAAGTTGACTTTTTAAACCCAAGCACGTGACTTTACATTTATCCCTATTGAGACGCCTCTTTTTAAGGATGGTCCCAAGCAGAGCTTCTCACAATATTTTTGAAGCCCCATTCTATCTTCATTGTGGACATTAAAGCTGGAGAACAGCGTAGGATTCATGGACTGTCAGAGCTGGAAAGGACCTTAGGGGTCATCTGCTCCAACCCTCTTATTTTATAGAAGGGAAACTGAGGCTGCTGGGGTAAAATGACTTGGCCAGTCTAGAACTCACCTCTTTTACATCCAAGTCCTGGGCTTTTTTTCCCCACTTCTCTACACTGCCTTCTTTAGGGGGCACCTAGGTAGTATGAAGTCAGGAAGACCTGATTTTAAATCTGACCTCAGACATTTACTAGCTGTGTGACCCTGGCTAAGTCATTTCACCCCGTTTGCCTCAATTTCCTCATGTGTAAAATGAGCTGGAGAAGGAAATGGCAAACCACTCCAGTATATCTGCCAAGAAAACCCCAAATGGGGTCATGAAGAGTCAGACACAAGTGACAAACAATTGAACAATCATACTTCTCCTCAGGCCACCTTGACCACCACTGCCAATATTATGAAGACACTCTCAGATATGCTGATCCCCAAGGGTCAGCTCTAGGTCTGGTCAGTGAGGGCAGAGTCATCCTTTGTCTCTGTCAGGAGCAGTCCACTCCCCATACCCAATCTCAGACACCCTGGGCTTCCTTTCAAGGCAGCTCAGCAGTGGAAAGGGGGCTTGGCTTGAAGTCAGGGGGTTTAGGTTCTTCCTATCCTTAGATCTGCCACTTAGTAGTACAGTGACCTTGAACAAATCATTTCACCTTTTTACAACTCACTTGGGGATAAAGATTCATGCACTGCTTGCCTCATAGGCTTTTACGAGAAGCACGTTTCATAGATCTTGAAGGTACAGTATTATGGGCATGATATTATTATGGTTGTTGTTGTTATGACTTTGGGACGGGCTTGGACAGATAATACTTTTCTTCTGAAAAAGACTGAGGCTCTTAGTGGACTGCAAGCTTTATATGAATCAGCGGCGTGGAGTCACTACCACAACCGAGGAAGCAGATTCCACCTTGGTCGGACCATAACTGGGACGTTGAGTTCATTCAGTTCTGGGCTCCCAGATTAGAACAGGCAAGTTGAAGACTGTCCAGCTAGGAGGCCAATGAGGATGATGAAGGACTTCAAGTTGGTTCTTAAGATGTCTGAAGATGTTTAGCCTGGAGGAGAGAAGATTTTAGGGAAAGGAGGACGAGCCAAAATGCTGTCTTCAATTTTTTTTTAAAACTGAACCCTGGAACAGGGATATTTTTTTCTTGCTCTCCTTGGCCCATAGGGCAGAATGAGGCCTTAGCATGGGCTATGATGGGTGGGGGAGGCAGATTTAGGCTTGATGGCAAGAGCAACTTCCTAAGAATTAGAGCTCTCTCAAAATGGAATAGGTCCCGAGGCTTCTGGGAGTAGTGAGCTTTGAGATTGGAGGTCTATCTTGAATCAAGGCAAGTCAACAAGCATTAATTAAGGCCCTACGGTGTGCTGGGTACTGTAAGTGTTGACAATACAAAGAAAGGCAAAAGGCTGTCCCTGCTCTCATGGAGCTCAGAGCCTAAATGGGGAGAAAACATGCAAATCACTAGATATAAGCAAATCTTACACAAGATTAATTGGAGATAATTGACAGAGGGAAGGCACTAGAATTAAGGGGGATCAGGAAGAGCTTCCTGTAGAAGGTGGGATTTTAGTTGGGATCCATAGGAAACCAAGGGATCCGGGGGAGGGAATTATAGGCATGGGGCACAGCCAGTGCAAATGAGTCCAGAGATGGAAGCTCTTATTGAAGGTACAGAAAGGAGGGTAGGGTCCCTTGATTGCAGAGGAAGGTGTAGGAAGACTGGAACGCTAGGAGGGGCCAAGTTATGAAGGGCTTGAAAAGCCTGAGAGAGTTTTATATCCGATCCTGGAGGTGATAGGGAGCCATTCGGTGAGTTTACTGAATAGGGAGGTGACTCAGTGGGACCTGTGCTTTAGGAAAATCACTTTGGCGGTTGTGGAGGATGGGTTGGTGTGGGAAGAGATTTAAAGCCGGGAGACCCCCAGCAGCCATTGTTGTGGCCTGAGGGCTTCACTTACAGGTTGAATGACTCGTCAATTACGTTGTAAAGGGGAGTCTTGGTCAGATATTGGCTGGACTGAATTGCTTCTGAGGCCCCTCTCAGCTCTGCCATCCCCTGTTCTAAGCCCTCTCCCAGCCCTGACATCCCTTGTCCTAAAGGCCCTTCCATCTCTCACACTCTGTTTTCTGTATTTTCAGTCAGATCCCTTTAAGAGAGAATGTTCTAAGATTCTACAGTTGTATCCTCTGGAGACCTAGATTGATGCCCAGATATCCACGGAGAGGGGAACTTAATTCTCCTCCCCTATTCCCCTATAGTTTTGTCCACTGTTTCCTCTGGACCATCCTGCCGCAGGCACCCCAAAGCCTGAGAAAACATCCATCAGTTGGATGGGATTGGAAACCCATTCCCAGGCTCTGAAGTGGAAAGGGCAGGGGGAGGGCTGGGGAACACTGGGGTACTCGTTTGCCAGGATGTCTCCTTGATGAGGGTGTCTGGGGGTCCCAATGCCTCCACTTCTTCTACCTCTCTGTTGCTCTCTCTTTTTATACACTCTATCTCCCACGTTTTCCTGAGTCTTGCCTCACCCCTCCCATCATGGAAACACTGAGTCAAGCCCTGAATGGGAGATTTTTCCTTCTTTACTGGCTCTCAAGGTCCCCTCATCCTCACCCATTGTCCTGGTGGCAAGATCCTCTTCCTTTCTCCCTTCTTCTTCTTCTTCCCTCCCCCCTTCTCTCTTGCTTTTCTTGGGACCCCTTCACTCAGGGAAACTTTGCTTTCCAGAAAAGCTCATAAGAGAGAAAGGAACAAAGTCCTCCAGCTGGAGGACTCCAGCCCCTCCTCCCGCCACCCCCAATTGCTCTGTGTGTGAGTGTGTGTGTGTGTGTGTGTGGCCCCTGGTGGAGCTCAGCTTGCAGTCCCTCCCTCCCTCAGTCCCTCCCATCCCTTTGCCCTCTCCCCTCCCCCAGCCCTGCCTGTCCCCACTTGAAACTCCTTTAATGAAAGCAAGCTGGTGGGGCTAGCCTCTCTCAGTTGGTGAGCTTGAGGCTGGCTGGCTGGCTGACTGACTGGAGGAAGGGGAGGCGGGCAGGAGGGCAGGGGGGCAGAGGGGCAAGGGCCCGGGACCAGCACCCTGCTCCTAGTCTAGGACTCCAGAAAGCTCCCCATCCTTGGCTGCTGGGCTGTGGGATCTCATCCAGCCTCAGTCGTGGGGACCCAGGCATCCTGAAACCTCCCTTTGCAGCTCCTCTGGTGAGTCTGGGCTTCTCTGGGCAGCGAGGTCCAGATCAGGGTGGAAGAGGAGTTCTGGGGGTCTCTTGTCCTCCCTGAGGCTCCCTAGGGCTGCAGGCTAACCTCCTCTGCCCCCTGTTCAAACACTGCTGTCGCCCTCTCCTCCTCTTCATTAGACCAGGCTACCCAGCTCTGGCTCGACCTGTCCTGAGACTAGCAGATTGAACTTGGACCAGCCTTGACCCCTCACACCCTTCCCCCAACTTTCCCAGTTGGGAGACTCAGTTCTGAGAGTGTTTAGGTTGCTAAGATGGACCTGGTCCTTCCAGCAGTGCCTGGCTGGGTCCCAGCTGCACAGAGGGTGTCCAGTAACTGCCTGCACATGTGTGTCTGGGGACCTGGGCTAAGTCTGGGAGATGCAGGCGGCTGTTAGGACTGTGTGTGTTTGTGGAGTGTCTGTGCATGCTCACACGTGTGTGTGTATGTGTGTGTGTGTGTGTGTGTGTGTGTGTGTGTGTGTGTGTGTGGGTGTGGGATTGATAGCTGTTAGGGGTATCTACACAGAAAGAGATTCAGGTCAGTGTGCATTCATGGGACTGAACACTTGGTTTCCACTTGCCTGCTCCCTATAATCTCAGGCTTTTGTCTTTCCTTACTCCCTACAGCCCTCCATCCCCCCTGAATTTGTGTGACTGTTTCTGTATGTGGATCACTGCATGTATCAGTGTGTGTGTGTGTGTGTGTGTGTGTGTGTGTGTGTGTGTCTTCTCTGGGGCTGTGAATCTATAGGGATCAATGTGTGTCTGTATGTGGGTCAACGTGGGTCAGCATGCCTCTGTCTATATGGGTACGTGTGTGTCTCTGTGTGAGTGTGTCTGCTATATGTACCAGTATGTTGAGTGTATCATTTGTGTGGATGTAGATGTGTGTGTGGGTTGGGGGTAACTGTGCTCCAGTCTATAGGGTCAGGGTGTCTGGGGCGTCCACAGCAGTTGTACTCACTGGGGCCTTTGGGGGCATTGGGAAACCAGACTCCTCTGGTCTCTTGGATGGTCAGGCCAGGGGACCCCTTTAGTTCAGTTTTTTTCCTTCTAGGGGAATGCCCGCCTCCTATATCCTCTTCACTGGTAATGTGTGTGTGTGTGTCGGGGGGGGGGGGGGGGGGGGGGGTTGGATCCCAGAGTCCTGGGCCAAAGGGGGAAGAAGAAAAGGTCAGAAGGCCCCAGAGGGGAGAGGGGAGCTGGGAGGGCTTTGCAGCCTGCAGCCTGCAGCCTCAGTCCCGCCATGGACTTGTTCTTTAATTGAAACCAGGTTTTCTGTGTGTGGGCCCCCTTCCTTGTCTCCTTCCCCCTGTGCCTCCACTCCGCCTTCCCAGTGGCCTAAGAGGACCCCTCTCAGACAAGGAGAGGATTCTGCTCTCCAGGGTACCAAAGGACCTACCTGGGTCTCTCCTGGGAGGGGAAGGGGCACATTTGCATAATCTGCATACTCAGTAATTTATTCATTCAACAAGCATTCATTAAATATATAAATGTTGTCATGGTTAAATTAGCCTATTATGTGCCAGGCTCTGTGCTGGGCAAAGGCCCTGTCCTTAAAGAGCTTATTGCTAAGGGTAGGGAGTGTACACAGAAAATATACAAAACAATTGGAGGGAGGGGCCGGTACTGAACGGGGGGGGGGGGGGGGAGATCAGAAAACGTCATCGAGCTGAACTATAGAGAAGCTAGGGATTGATTCCAAGAGGCCTTGGCTTGAGAAGGGCATGCATTCCTGGCCTGAGAGACAGTCCAGGCAAAAGTTTGGAGGTGAGAGATGGGATGTAGAGAGAACAGGAAGGCAGCCAGCATGATTGGGACCTTAAGGGAAAGTAATGAAGAATCAGCCTAGAAAGGCAAGCCACAGCCAGATTGGGAAGAACTTTAAATACCAGACTGGGGGGGGGGGGCGGAGTTTGCATGCTTGAGGCAAGCCAGGGAGTGAGGGTCAGAGCTGTGCTGTAGGAATATCCATTCGGCAGCTGTGTGGAGGAGAGATTGGAGAGAAACGTGTCACATGGAAACAGGTCAAACCCCAAACTGAATGGGCTGCTTGATTTGGAGAAAACCACCGAGGCTGACTTTAAGAACAGTCTAAGACATGGAGAGAGACTAGGCTGGAGAAGGGTCCTGGCCTGGGAGGACCACTCCAGAGGGTGAGAGACAGGGGGGTGATGGGAAAGAGCGCTGGGCTTAGGTCTCAGCTTTTTAATTTCCTATGTGACCTTGGGTAAGTCTAGGTAAGACCTCCTTTGCTTCCCTCATCATGAAGCTAATGGGGTTTGGACTAGGTGCCATGGAAGCTCCCTTCTAGCCCTACATTCTATGACCCGAGGGCTTTGGAATCTGTCTTTGCCTAGGGGCTGGGGCAGAAGCCAAGCTGTCCTTCCCAAGGAATGGAGGCCAAGAGCCAGAACTCCCTATGGGCAAATGGGCCAGCCCTCCTGCCTTCTTAGGGGAGATGGTGTCTTGCCCTTCCCCTGTCTATAGGGCAGGGGCTGTGTTTCCCCTAGGAGGGTTCCTGAAAATGACCAAGATGGGAGCTGACCTTGGGAAAAAAAAACCTATCCCCCAGAGGCCATGAGAAGCTGGAGAAAGCAGATTGAGTTAGTTATATCTGCTCTCTGCTCTCAGGGAATCACTGGACTTTTAGGCTGGGAAGTACCACAGGAGGGTATCTGGCTTGAAGGCATCTTTCCCAGCTGGAGAAACTGAGGCTGAGGGACAGGCAGTGACTTGGCCAAGGTCACGAAGGAGGTAGGAGTGAAGGCAATGGTGTGGAAGGTTTTTGAGATGATTATGTAGGGGTGAGTGGAGCTTGGGGTTGGGGGATGGGAGCATGCGGATCCTCAGCTGAGGATGAGAAAAGGGCTATTTCTTCTTCTGGTTCTCCTCCCTACATGTGTTACCTCAGCACATCATTCCCCCCAGTCACTGCAGAAATGACTCTTGACCTCCTGTTTAGGAGAAGAAGCTCCTGTTTAAAGAATCACAGGACCATGAGAACTGGGAGGGGCCTTAGAACAGGGAGTGTCAGAGCTGGGCGGGGCCTCAGAACAGGGAATGTCAGGGATGGGATGGTCTTAGAATAGAGAATGTCAGAGCTGGGAGGGGCCATAGAATAGAGACAGAGGATGTCAGGGCTGGGAGGGACATTAGAACAGGGAATATCAGAGCTGGGAGGGGCCTCAGAACAGGGGATGTCAGAGTTCCCTCTCAGCTCTCCACCCTGGCTCTGTCTAGATTCCCTCCCTGTGCCAGGAGAAGGTCTCAGACCAGCAGCTCTCCCAGCCTCCCTTGCCAGGGGCTCCCTTGGTTATAGAACAAACCATATTCTTTCTTTGCTCGGGATATTTCTGCAGCAGGTGAGAACCAAGGTACTTTTAATCCAGACATGAACATTTTTCAAGTCGCTGATGTGAATGCCATTATCTCCCAGGTTCACCTTCCTAGATGGTTGTTGATGGTGGGCTCTGTGTATACGTGAGTGTTTGCGTGCACACATACATTTGCCTAGGGGTATAGTGATGAGGAGAAACTGGACAGGGAGGGGGCCACTGGCCAAGAGAGTTCTCTGTCCTGATGACAGAGCTTATGGTAAGGGCCCAACGTCAAAGAGTCACAGAACTGTTGAGGACCACCATCAAATCATGGGATCACAGGCTTGGAGCCTGGAAATCCTTGAGCCCAAATTCCTTGTTTTATTGCTGAGGAAAGTGAGGCCCAGAATTGCTTGCTTCAGGTTACACAGAGAGTAAAATCACAGAACTGGGTTTTAAGCTCCTAGTCCAAATCCAGAGCTTTTTCCATTGTACCACGAGGCCCCACCCACTGAATCACGGAATCCAGGAATCATTGAATTACTGAAGAACAGACTCTTAGAACCAAAGATTCTGAGACTCATATAAACATCACATTAGAAGATCTTAGAATCAGAAACGTGAAATCAGAGAATCTTGGAGTCACAGTCAATGAATTCAGAAATCTTAGAATCATAGAATCTTGGAATCTCAGGGATCATACAGTCACTGAATTAGAGAATAGTATCACCAACTTTTTTTTTAAGGCAATTGGGGTTAAGTGACTTGCACAGGGTCACACAACTAGTAAGTTTCAAGTGTTTGGTCTGAGGCCAGATATGAACGCAGGTCCTCCTGACTTCAGGACCGGCGCTCTATCCACTGTGCCACCTAGCTGCCCCCCCCTTTTGTTGTGTTAGAACCATCTAACTGCATAATCAGACAATATTAGAATCATACTTTCTTAGAATCAAGACCACATACTTGCTGAATTAGAGAGTCTTGGAACTATAGATTCTTACAATGAAAGAAATTTGAAGTCTTGGACATAATCACCAAATTAGAAAATCTTGTTGTTCAGTCATGCCCAACTCCCCATGACCCAATTTGGGATTTTCTTGGCAAAGATACTGGAGTGGTTTGCCATTTCCTTCCCTAGCTTTCTTTTTTCTTTTTTCTTTTTTTTTTTTACAGACGAGGAAATTGAGGCAAAGAGGGTGAACTAACTTGCCCAGGGCCACACAGCTGGTAAGTGTCTGAGGCCAGATTTGGACTAAGGTCTTCCTGATTCCTGGCCTGGTGCTCTATCCACTGTACTACTTAGCTGCCCAGGACTCTGGAGCATTGAAACTTGGAAATCATAAATCTTGGAATTCTTGAATCACAGGATCTCAGAGGCCCTAGAGTGGTCATCTAATCCATCCTTGTCTTAAAACATAGGACAGCACCTCTACCTCCCACTGTACCCCCAATACCATGAAAGTGGTGTCTTCCCTCTCACCTTGGGCCCCAGGCAGACCACGCTCTTGGAAATCCATGTCAAAGTTTCCATACCCAGACTGGGCTGTCAGGAATTTATTAATTGGCCTCGCCAATCTGCTCCAGATGGGGTCTTGGCATCTGGGGGTTCATGCCGGGAGCAGCCTATCTGGATGGCTGTGTGGGCGGGAGCTAGTGAGCCAGGTCATCTGGTTCTCATCTACTCTGAGGCTACGTCATGGCGGGGGGGGGGGGGCGACGTTCTCCAATAGCCCTGGAGCAGAAGAGCTTTTTGGCTCTTTTTGTCTCCAACAAAATTATTTTCAGAAGGGAGACCCAGGAGAGAGAAGGACGAGCTTAAGATCCTGATGGGGATGGCTGAAGTGGGGGTGGGGTGGGGCAAGGACAGAGACAGGGCCCATAGACAGACAGGAATCTCACCCTGGCAGGGCTTTAGAGCTGTGGGGTGTGTGGTTGGCTTGGCCAAGGTTTCAGTTCCTGGAGAAGGAGGTGGAGCCCAAATTGGGGGGGGGCCCTCGGGTTAAAAATAGAATTAGCTTTGAGTGTCTCAGAAGAGATTACAAACAGAAAAACTCCAATACGGTTATCTTTCAGGCTATTGTCCCCTGGACAGATATTATGAGCCCATTGTTGGGGGTGTACAGACAAGTAGAAAACACTGTCTTGGCCCTCGGGAAGCTTACAGTCTAGTGGGAAAACAAGACAGGGAACTGTTAGTAAACAGAATAAGACAGAGAATGAACAAGGGTTGAACTGGGTGGTCCACAGAGGGAGAGTGGTTGGTGGAAGTTCAGAGGTGGGTGATGACTGTGGGCTGGGGTAGTCATGGAGGGCTTCACGGAGGTGGGGTTCAGACACTGGAGCCACTCTTTAAGTATTTGGATGGGCAGACAGAATTGGGGGATGCATTTTAAAGGGAGGATGCCCCAGGATGCATGTGTTCCCTTTTCTAAGGCCCCTCTCCTCCTGTCCTGACATTCCCTGTTCTAAGGGCCCTCCCATCTCTGACATCCCCTGTTCTAAGACCCCTCCTAGTTCTGACATCCTCTGTCTCTATTCTATGACCCCTCCCAGCTCTGACATATCCTCTATTCTAAGGCCCCTTCTAGCTCTGACATCCCCTGTTCTAAGGCCCCCCAATAGTGTCTATTCTAAGATTTTCTCCCACTCTCTCCTTGAAGTTGACATCTGTCCCCAGCTCTGAAGCCTGTTCCACTTGGCTCCCTCGTGTTGAGGCCCAGTTTTCTGAATAGCCTTTAGTACCCCTATTCAGCCAAGCCCATGGTGGGTGAGGTGAGGATCCAGAGAGTTCGGGGAGGGAGAGGCAACACTCCATAACTGAAGCTATCTCTCTTCCAAAGGGCTGACTGTGCCTTTTGAAGCTTTGGGTTGTGGTCAAATTCCAGGATATGGCTCTGGCTGACAAGCCCTTGGAGCCAGGCCTGCTAAGTAGGTAGTTCTCTGCCTCTGCTAGGTAGGCTGACTGTGGCCAGAGAAGACTGCCCCTTGGGCCACCTCCTTCCACTCCAGCACACAGAGAACCAGGAGGGACTTTTCTCTCACTAGATCTTATCTGAATGTCTGGAGGTGTTATCTATTCCCATTTCACAGATAAGGAAAGTAAGGCCCATCTGGGGGGCAGTGACTTGTCCATGGTCACCCAGTGAGCTAGGGACAGAGCTGAGACAAGAATCCAGGCTGGGGTGCCTCTCATTCTGTCCTTCGGCCCTATCTGCTCCCTGAAATACTGACAAGCTATCAGATGATTATTCCCTGTAGGATTTCATGATATGTTCCCTTATATACAGAGCCCACCACCTACCTAGCCCCACCCTAGAGCATTTCAAACTGGATTTGTAAACTGTTTTTACATGCAACGATTCCATATATATCCACATAATCCATCCATTTATCAACCCACACAGATTTATTGGGTTCCTACTATGTGCCAGGCTCTGTGCTTACGTCGAATGAAGTGAAGGTCAAAGCCTCAGGACATGTGGAGGTTTCTGAGCCAAGCTTTCAGAATCATAGATGCAGAGCTGCGGTCATGGAGCCCAGACCTCTTATTTTACACATGGGGAAACTGAGGCTCAGGAAGTTCAGCTAATTGGCCCACAGTCACACAGCTAGTAAGTCCCTGAGGCAGGTTTTAAACCCAGGTCTTTTTGCTTCTAGGTCTGGTGTTTTGCTTTTGTTTTTAATCTTTTTCAGTTGTGTACAACTCTTCTTGACCCCTTTTAGGGTTTTCTTGGCAAAGATACTGGAGTGGTTTGCTATTTCCTTCTCCAGCTCATCTTACAGATGAGGAAACTGAGGCAAAGAGGGTTAAGTGACTTGCCCAGGGTCACACAGATAGAAAGTGTCTGAGGCCAGATTTGAACTCAGGGTGATGACTATAGGCCCACCATTCTATCCACCGCTCCACTCTGACCAAATGCTTCCTCTCAGGGGTTGATAGGGAAAGGTCTACTTATCTAGAAGGAATCTATTCTCTCCTCCTCTTCCCAGAGAGAGAATTAGATTTGCAATCAGGAGATCTACATTATGATAATAGTAATAATAAAAATGATAATAATAATAGCTAGAATTTTTACAGCCTTTGAAGGTTTGCAAAGTGTTTTATAAATATCTCATTTGATCTTTGCAACAGTCCTGGAGGTATGTACTATTATTATCCCCATTTTACAGATGAGGCAGAGAGAGGCCCAGGGTCACACATTTAGTCAATGTCTAAGGATGGATTTGAATTCAAGTCATGTCTATGAAGTTGTAAAGTCTAGGCAGGGAAAATGACTTGCTGAGTTTGTAAGTAGCAGATATGGGATTTGAACCTAGGTCCCATGGCTCCGAATGCTGTACCCTTTTCCCAGGGCCATGATGTATCTTGAATTAAATGAACTGAATGCATTCTATGACCCTAGATGTGCCTGGTCCAACACCTTTTTTTTATTTCCTGCAGATTTCCTCCCCAGGCCTGTTGAGAAAATGGCCCCGTTGGCGACCAGTAGCCTTCTATTGCTCCTGCCCCTCCTTTGGGCCCCGCCCAACACTGCCCACTCAGTGCTGGTCCAGGCTGCCCTCCTGGAGGACAGTGGGGGCAGTGGAGAGATGGAGGGCTCTTCAGCTTCCTCCCCCAGCCTCTCCCCGCCCCACACCCCGGCCCTCAGTCCCACCTCAGTGGGGCCTCCACCCACTCCTTTGGCAGGTCCCTCACCCCCAACCAACTTCCTGGATGGGATTGTGGATTTCTTCCGGGAGTACATGCTGCTCATCGCTGTGGTGGGGTCCCTGGTCTTCCTGCTTCTCTTCATCATCTGTGCTGCTGTCATTGTCCAACAGAAACACAAGGCCTCGGCCTACTACCCATCCTCCTTCCCCAAGAAGAAGTACGTAGACCAGAACGACAGGACCGGAGGCACCCGGGCCTTCAGCGAGGTTCCTGACAAGGCCCCGGATGCCCACCCGGAAGATGCAGCCATGGACTCTTCCCGCCAGCTCCAGGCTGACATACTGGCTGCTACTCAGAATCTCAAGTCTCCAACCAAGGGGCCCCTGGCCAATGGAGATGGAGTCAAAATGGAGGAGAAGGAGGGAAGTAAGAAGGATGAGGAGGCAGAGAAGGCTGAGGAGGAATCCCAAGGTCAGGGTAGCCCCAAAGAGATACCCGAGGCCCCCTCAGGGGAGGCTGCAGAGCTGAGTTGTCCATCAGGGGCTGAGGCCAGAGCAGAAGAGCCACCAGCAACTGGGATGGACCATGGTGAGCAGGAGGGTGCTCTCTCGTTACTGCAAGAAGCTAGGGAGTCCCCCAGTCTCCCTGTCCCTGAGGGTTCTTGTGCGTGCCCCAGTTTTTCTCCAACGGTGGAGGAAGCTGCTTGACTACCTTCGATGAACCAGGGCCACTCACTCTTCCAGACTGAAGCACAACTCTGTCAACCAGCTGGCCTCCAGAGACTCTATTCTCCCCTGGCCCACGAGACCCAGGCAGAAGGGTTGGCTCTGTGAGTCGGCCTATGGATGATTGGACACGGACATGTTGCCTGTGCTCTCAGCTGACTTGGTTACATCAGACGGTTCCCCTAGAGCCTTGAACATCCAATCCAAACTGTCTGGGCCTGTCTGGCTGGGGCCCTAGCTGTCTCCACTCTACTTCCAACCAAGCAGCCCCCAGAAATCTCAGGACTTTTTTTCCTCTGGCTTCCCCAGACACCCACCCAGAACCAGACTGTGCTGACTCAGCTCCCCCTAATGATATAAGGGTCTAACTTCTTTTCTAAAGACTCTTTCTACTTTAGCTAAACCCATAGGTAGCTTGCCATCGGCTTTGATCGCTTCACTTGAGGCTTATATCTTCCTGCGGAGGACAGTGCATAAGAAATAGAGAACAAAGTGGAGGAACTTTCTGTTGGCTTCATTCTTTGTTCTTCCTCCAAATACCACCCAAGCAGCTCCTTCCCTCCACTGCCATAAAGGTCTAGAAACTGGTTTGCTCTGTTATGAACTAAGGGGCCTTTCTGATGCTTGCCTTGAATGGAGGGGAGGACAAGAGGATCCTAGCTCTATTGGATTAGGGATTGCTTCATTTCGCCTTAGGATTCCATTCTGCAGGAAGTAGGACCAGACCCTGCACTTGGAGGACAGCTAGAGAGAGAAGAGAGATATGGGTCTGGCTCAGGAAACCACCTGAGGGAGGGCCTGGCAGCAGCTGGAACTGGGCGCCCAGACTCACGTTGTGGAATGGGCTTTAGTGACCTTCCCCTTTCTCTCTCCCTCCAAAGATATGACTGGTCTGGCGAGTTAAAGGATAGAGTATGACCTGACGGGGAACATCTCCTCCGTTTAAACTAGAGAAGGCAGAGTGAAGGGTCTCTTTCCTCCTTTTCCAACCAATCCCATTTTGTCCTGTGGATTTTGAGTCAGGGGCAGGATGGGGCATTGAATTCCCCATACCCAACAATTAGAACTTCACTGCCAATGGCCTTGGTATCTCTTGGATTGGGGCCAGAGAGTTGGCTGGCCTGCTTCGGGGATGGGGAGCAGGAACCCACCTCTGCCGGCATCCTGTAGACCCCCACCCATCCCTGGTACCCCACTGGGAAGGACAAGATGGAGCACGCTGCTCCACCTAGTAATAATAATGTTGATAAATTCTAATAAACTTTGGTCTGGTGTGATCCACATTGTGATGCTGTCTTTCTTGGGATTCTTAGTTATCAAAAGCCTAGAGGGGTGAAGGGAAAGAGAAGGGAAGGGAAGGAGGGAAGAAGGGGGAAATTGAGGAGGCTTTCTCAGCCTACGGTAGGGTTTGATTGGCAGACCCAGCACTTGGTCATAGAGTTTGGGGTATGGGGCCAAAGGGAGAAAAGGTGGGTCCCAAGAGGAATACTTAAGGTTTGCTGATGGAAAAATTTCCTAAGATTTAGAGCTACACAAGTAGACTTGGCTGTTTGGGAGATAGAATCATTGACTGAGACCCTCAGAAATCTTCTAACTTTTCCACTTTACAGATGAGCAAACATGCTCAGAATTAGGTGACTTGGCCAGGGTCTCTAAGTAATAAGGGGTAGAGCTACAATTCAAACCCAGATCCTTCAACTCCAAATCCAGTGTTTATTCTGTGATACCCAGCAGAGGGGGAGGGCCCCCTCCCACATCCACTCAGACCCCACCCTCTGCAGGGCCCTGCTTAGGAGCCTACAGACTCTCCCATGCAGGCCTGCTGCCCACTGCCTCTAACTTCTCCCTTCCCTTCGGGGTCCCTGGAGAGCTACAGATGAGGCCCAGATGTGTTGGAGATGCCAAATAGAATGTGTGGGGAGTGTTATGGCAATCTGGCATGGGACTCAGGAGAGAAGGAGGGGACGGCAGCTCTCTCCGAGGCCACATGACTCCCTTGGACCCTGGGTCTGGCACAGTGAGTTTCCCTCTCCTGCTTCTACTTTGCAGGAAAGTGAGGCAGTCTCTTGTTCACTGTTAGTTTCCTGGAGAAGCTGGACAGACAGACCAGATCTCAAACATGGAGCTCTTCTGAGCTGAGTAGATTTCTAGCCTGGGATGGCTTCCAGGGGCCAGACTCTGGTTGTTGTTGGGAAAGCTTCTCTCCCTCTACCATACGACATGAATTTTCTCATCTAAACCTCCCCTGTCGCCCAGTTTTCCCCAAAAACATGCAGCAGAGGGGAGGAAGGCAGCTGTGAGCTCTGCCCAGCCCGGGGCCCTTGTGGGGGTTTTGTGTTACTTGCATAAAGTATGGCAAGACCGAAGATGCCGGAGGAGAAGAGGGGGCAGGAAAACTGAATCTTCCTCATCTCTCTCTTCTTTTGGAGGAGGGAATCAGCCTTTCTCTGCTTGGCCCCAGAGGCCAGAGCGAGAGGCAAAGAATGAAAACTGCAGAGAGGGAGATCTGAAACTCCTGGAGGGGCCTCCTGCCGGCCCCTTGTGTGTGTATGGGAGAATAAGAGGATGATGGGATGGCAGGGAGCAACATTAGCTGATGACTGGATCCCCTCCCATCTGGTTTGGTTCTGGAAGACATCTGGAATAACAGGGGCACCATATGATAACCCATCCCCCTCCTTTTACAGATTGGCTAGAGGTCACACAGCTAGTCAGTAACAAAGCTGGTATATGGACCCAAAAATGTGTATTAATAAAGAGATAGAAACATTACTCCCATGAGGACCCTTGGGCACACTGTGAATCATAGCATCCCAGATCTGTATCTGGAAGGGACCTCAAAGATCATAGGAATATAGTGTAATGGGGGTCCTGGCCAATGAGGGTTCAGTCCTTAGAGCATACACAATCCTCTATCTGCTGTATAGAGGCTCTGTGAACCTGCTTTCAGATATGTGTGACAGAGAGACCAGGACCCTTTCCCTCCATGAATGTTTCCTCTTGGTTTACTACATAGTAACCAAAAGTAATCCTAAAGGTCCTAAGTGCACATACAAAAGGCACAGATGGATGAACTGTATCTCTCTTCATTATTCACTTTCGGGGGAGGAGAAAGAACTACTATGGGATTTCCCACAGGGGAGAAGCCAGGGGCCAACTTTCTCATCTGCTGGCCATGACTGCACAGCGCTCCATGCTGATCTTAGGTGATTGTGTATTAGAGACGAACCGGGACATGACCCTGTGAGCCTTAAAGGGTCAGAAAGGCTATCTGCGGGCTGGCAGCTAGAAGCCATAGCAGGATCTGCCAGCAGCAACAGAAAGCTCCCAAGCCCAGTAAGAAGCCAGCTCAGAGGGGGATCCTGCTGGACCCAGTGCGGCTGACATGTCCTGAAAGCAAGCGAACGATCTGATCTGTCCGTTGGATGCCCCACTCAGAAGTGGATTCAGTTCAGGGACTATTGGGTGGTCACCAGTTTCAAATTTGGGACCACTCTCTAAGTGAGTATGGATCTTTCTATACCTTCTCAGTCAATGGCCCTTTGTAAAAGCTAATTGATATTAATCCAGTTTATCCATATTGAAAAAAGGTCAACTGGTCAAATGGATATTGAGGAGGGGTTAACTGGGCAACTGATACTGGGAAGGAGACCTAGAAAACTTCTCAGGGTTCTAGGGGGAACTCCAAGGGAGCAGAAAGTGACCCCATTCTGCGGATCCAGTGGCAGGAATGCAGCTGGAGCAGAGATTTACAACGGGAAGGGACCATTTGGGGGCAGTCTGACCTCTTCATTTTATAGATGAAACTGAGGCCAGGTGACTTGCCCAGGGTCACACAACTAAAATGTACGTGAGGTGGGATTTGAACTCAGGTTTTCCTGGCCCCAACCCCAACCCTCTCCTTTTCCAGATGAGATAACCCAGTCCCAAAGAGGTGAAGTGATTTGCCTGTGTGACCATAGGGATCCAGCCTACAGGGAGATGGCCCTAGAGAAAACGACATGCTAGGGGTGAGGATTCAGATTGGGAGCTCAGTCTCCTTGACTTCCTTCAAGGCTCAGCTCAGAAAGCCTTTCCCATTCCTCCCAGTGGTCAGTGCTTTATTCATTAACCTGTGCAAATGTATACTCTAGCCTTCCTCCTCCCCCTCCATGTAGAGACTGCTTGATTTGTGCTTCTTTGTCCCCAAGGATTGACAAATGTCTGTTGAATATCTAGCCCAGGCCCTTCGTTTTACAGATAGGGAAATTGAGGCACAGATCAGTTAAAGCAAGTTGCCCAAGGTCAACCAGCTTGGTAAGTTGAGCTGAGCTGAGAATGCAGCTCTCTTCTCTTCCAACTGCTCAGCACTGCCTCTATGTAGGGGTCACCAACCTTGCTCCCCCCAAGAACTGGTAGAAGAAATCATTTGGAAGCCTCTCTATCCAGCTGGAACGTGGAGGAGGAGGAGAGGTGGGCCTAGGAGATCATTGTTAGCTTCGTTGGGGTCCCTGCCAATGGCTGAACAGTCCTTCTACTGTCCCCTGCTTGTAAAAATGTCCCGAGATGTGCCAAATAAAACTCACATCTGCCCCCAGGAAATGGATAGGAGGCTCAAGGGCTGAGGGATGGGATGGAGACTGTTGCTCTGCCAACTTTTTCCTCTGTCTTAGTGGTGGGGAAGAAAAGCCCTCAGCAACCAATAAAACAGCCTGCGGAAGTGAGAGACCTAGGGATGTGGGAATCAAGGGCCAGGGGCTACCAGCCAGAAAGGTGGTCCTCTTCCCCCTCCTCCTCCTTCTTCTCCTCCTCCTCTTCCTCCTCTTCCTTTTCCTCCTCTTCCTCCTCCTTTCCTCTTCCTCCTCCTCTTTTCCTTCCCACTCCCCTCCACCATCAGGCCTTCTCTGGCTCTACCCAACTATTTAAAGACCACATTTGGAATCATCTGGTCCTGCCTTCCATCCTATGCAAAGATGTCCTCAGACTCAAATAGAAACAGGGCCATAAAACTGTTCAGAAGGATCCTTGTGGGTGCATATTGACTTAGAAAACCACATGTTAACATTGTCTGTATTTTATTATATTTGGTGGAATATTTCTCAATTACATTTTAATCTGGTTCTAGCCCTCCTAGGGAGTGCTGCAAAAGGCATGAGCATCCCGTATCTGACACCTCTGCTCTAGAGCAACTTGCAACAACCAAGCCACTGCTTGAGTAGTCTCACTCACATGGACCTCACTACCTTTAGAAATAGCTGTTCCACTTTTGGACAGCGCTAATTAATAGAAAAGCTAGGCCACACAGTGGCTAGAGTGTTCAGCCTGGAGTCAGGAAGACCTGAGTTCAAATCTGCCCAGCTGTGTGACCCTGGGCAAGTCACTTCACCCTGTTTGCCTCAGTTTCCTTATCTGTGCTGGTGCGCTATCCACTGTGCCACCTAGCTGCCCCCTCCATAAGGTTTTGAGTTTTAAATTTTCTCTCCCTCCCTCCCCAAGATGGCATGCAATCTGATACAGGCTCTACATACACATTCCTATTAAACATATTTTCACATTAGTCACGTTGTAAAGAAGAATTAGAACCAACAGGAGGAACTGCAAGAAAGAAGAAACAAAACAAAACAGAAGGAAAAAAAGAGCAAATAGTCTGCTTTGATCTGCATTCATACTGTATAGTTCTTTCTCTGGATGTGGACAGCATTTTCCATCATGAGACTTTTGGAGACAGCTTAGATCCTTGCATTGCTGAGAACAGCTGAGTGTATCAAAGTCAGTCATCACACAATGTAGCTGGTACTGTGTACAATGTTCTTCTGGTTCTGCTCACTTCACTCTGCATCAGTTCATATGAGTCAAATCAACTTTTAAAGATAAATTTAAGTGTAGTTGAAGGGGAGATGCTGGACTCTGGGACACGTTTCTGTGGGTATAGTGAAACAAGCCTGTGGGGAGAGACATGAAGACCCCAGGACACCCTGCCAGGAGCATGCTGGAACCAGCTCTGATGGTTTGTGAGAACCAGTGGTTAAATTTCCTGCATGAGCACTCACACCTGGGAAAATAACAGATGCTACATAAAAATCCGGACTTGATCTGTTTTTTTAAAAATTTTCTAGATTCAAAAAGTGAAGGTGAAAATATTGAGAATGCAGATTTAACTTAAAAAAGTGTCATAGGTACAACTCCACCTCCCCTGCACCAAGAGGGCTGGTTGTTAAACATTTACTAGGACACCCCTGTCTTTAAACCACTGCTGAAGGAGGGAATACATGGGATGTGGCAGTGCTATGGACTGAGTATAG